TTTACTTGGGCTTGGTGGTACACACCTATAATCCCAGCTACTCGGGTGGCTGAGGCAGGAGAATTGCTTGAACCTGGAAGGTGGAGGCTGCAATGAGCTGAGATTATACCACTGCCCTCCAGATTGGGCAACAGAGCAAGACCCTATCTCAAAAAAAAAAGAATCACCTTAATAGTTTATTACAGTTTGTTTATTCTTCCTATATTAAAAAAATGTCAACCTACAATCCTTGCATTATATTTTTGTGTGTGTGAGATAGAAGATACATATGGAGAATGTAAAACATACGTACAACTTAACAGTTATAAAATATTTCGGTGGCAGTTGCTGTCCTACCCTAGAACTGAAGCTGATTTATGCCTTTTTCAGTATCCAGTGCTTTTGTGTTCTATCCATTACTGTCTTCTTTGTCCAAAGAGCAGTTGATATTCTGAAATAATATCTTTCCATTTCTCTGCAATACAAAATATATCTATGTATAAAGAAATTCCATAAACTTGGCCACTTGAATTTATAAGCTTTTTGAGTTTTAACTTTGTTGCTTTTTTTTTTTGGGGATGGAGTCTCACTCTGTCACCAGGCTGGAGTGCGGTGGTGCGATCTCGGCTCACTGCAACCTCTGTCTCCCAGTTCAAGCAACTCTCCTGCCTCAGTTTCTTGAGTAGCTGGGATTATGGGCATGTGCCACCATGCCCAGCTAATTTTTGTATTTTTAGTAGAGACAGGGTTTCACCATGTTGGCGAGGCTGGTCTTGAGCCCCCGACCTCAGGTGATCCACCCACCTCAGCCTCCCAAAGTGCTGGGATTACAGGTGTGAGCCACTGCGCCTGGCCGAGTTTCAACATTTTTAACAAATTTGTTTGATAAATACTGATTTCCTATTTCAAAAAATCAAAGACTAACCCGTGGGCTAACATGAGTCATGTGCTAATACCTGACTCATGGACTGATTGCTAACCAATGTATTTAGACATTTTTGTGCCTTAGGAGTCATTGAAAGAGAAAATTCTGAAACATTTAGTTTTATTAGTGTGTTAAAAGGCCTGAGAAAATATTACTGGGAAAAGATTCTCGGGTAGATCATATGAGAAATTTTCTCTGTTTGAAACATGTGAAAGCTTAATTTGAATGCTGTACTGTACTGATTAGTTACTGTCTATGGTCAAATATCAGGTAAGCACACTTCTAAAGAAACCTGTCAACTCTAATACCTGTAAAAAAATAGGGAAATTAAATAGATTGTGTCATTAAGATTCATTAGGCTGCTTGAAGCCCCATTATTTTGTCTATCATTATACAAGTGTGATAGAATAAATTTTGTAAAAAAAAATCTGTTTTGAACTTCATCCAAATAGGTTTAGTTATTGAAAGTCTTATTTTAAATATGGCTCCAAATCATAAAGACTCAATATTTGCCTTCATAATTCTTTGTTATACTGAGGCACAGAGATATTTTTAATGGAAATAGGTGGTTCAATATTACATTCCAGGATGAATTGTTAGGGAGGATAACTATATCATGCCGATAGAAAATATAGTGTAGTGTGGCTGGGTGCAGTGGCTCATGCCTGTAATCCCAGCACTTTGGGAGGCTGAGGCGGGTGGATCACCTGAGGTCAGGAGTTCGAAACCAGCCTGGCCAACATGGTGAAATGCTGTCTCTATTAAAAATACAAAAAATAGCCAGGCGCGGTGGTGGGTGCCTATAATCCCAGTTGCTCAAGAGGCTGAGGCAGGAGAATGGCTTGAACCTGGGAGACAGAGGTTGCAGTGAGCCAAGATTGTGCCACTGTACTTCAGCCTGGCGACAGAGTGACACTCCATCTCAAAGAAAAAATAGTGTAATGTAGTGATAATATTTGATTCTTGTTTTTCCAAAGTATACTGTTTTTCATAAATAATATCCTTCCATTTTTCTGCTCATTCAATACACAGTGTTTTTTAGGTTTTTGTTTTTGTTCATTTTGTTTGTTTGTTTGTGGATATGGGGTCTCACTTTGTTACCCAGACTAGTCTCAAACTCTTGGTCTCAGTGATCCGTGAGCCTCGGCTTCCTCATGTGTTGGGATTACAGGCGTGAGCCACCACCCCAGCTAACACAGTTTTGACAAACTACCATGTGCCAGTTATCAAGGATAGGCTGCTATGAGAAGAATCTCACAGTTTGGAAAGAGTGACAATGTTGTCTGAGTGGAGTTGAATTGGGAGAATAAGATTCTTGAATTAAAGAGAGAAGGATGTAATCCTGTTACTGGCTTCCATTCTGGAGCTCTTACTACAAGTTTGATACTGTGCCTTGCCCTTGACTTGTTATGTTCACAGCAGCTCTTCAGAGGGAGGGGCTTATTATCCCTGTTATGCAAATACAGAAGCTGAAGCACAGAGACTTTCATAACTATCCAGTAACTGAACTGGGACTTAGAGACAGCAGTCTTCAACCCCACAGCCTATCCTTATAACTTACACAATGTTGCTTAATAAATCTGAATTATGAAAGGGAGAACACTTTTCTGAATATCCTTACAAATGGAAATAAGGCCTCTAGTTCAACAAATACGTGCCATTAATGTTTTTATACCTGAGCTAGACTACTTTTTCTGTGTGCGTGGTTCTAAAGGATGATTTTCTAGTTTGAAGATCCTTTTTTTTAATGCAAAATAACTAGTCACAGCATTTAGGAATAGATAGCCAGGCATTCAAAGTTGAATAAGTACCTGCAATGGACTTAGCCGTTTCATTTCTGCCACTAACATGTCTTTAGCAAATCACTACATGTGAATTTATTGTGTTCATTGTGTAGAAAAAGGCACTTAAAGACAGAGAAACAAAAAGTGACCTACCCAGTCACTTTTACCAAATCATCCCAAGTAGTACTATCATATTTGAGGGTAAAGAATTTCCATGGCAGAATTATGTTCTAGCAAAATAGAGTAATTCCTCACTAGATTAGGATTCTTCAAGCTAAGCACTACTGGTATTTTATCCTTCATAATTCTTTGTTGTGAGGAGCTGTCTTGTGCATTATGGGATGTTTAGCAGCACCCCTAACCTCTATCCACTAGATGCCAGTAGTAGTGCACACACATAACTGCTGAATTGTCACACCAAAAATGTCTCCAGGTATTTCCAAGAGTCTCCTTAGCGGCAACATTCCCTGGGTTCAAATTCACTGCTGTAGATCACTAAGAATAAGATAAAATCTATCAAGTGTATATTTCTTAAGAAGCCACAGAAGTAGACTGGGCGTGGTGACTCACACCTGTAATCCCAGCACTTTTGGGAGGCTGAGGTGGGTGGATCACCTGAGGTCAAGAGTTCCAGACCAGCCTGGCCAACATGGAGAAACCCCATCTCTACTAAAAATACAAAATCAGCTGGGTGTGGTGGCGCGCGCCTGCAGTCCCAGCTACTCGGGAGGCTGAGGCAAGAGAATCGCTTGAACCTGGGAGGCAGAGATTGTGGTGAGCCGAGATTGCTCCAGTCTCTACTAAAAGTACAAAATTAGCCAGCTTGGTGGCACATGCCTGTAATCCCAGCTACTTGGGAGGCTAAGACAGGAGAATCACTTGAACCCTGGAGGCGAAGGTTTCAGTGAGTCAAGGTGGTGTCACTGCTTTCCAGCCTGAACAACAAGAGCAAAACTCCGTCTCAAAAAAAAAAATTAGAAAGAAGCTACAGAAGTAATTCTGCTAGTATTTGACATCTAATCAAAATGACTTTTTGGTGTAGGTATACCATAGCTAGAAATTCATGAAATGCAGAAATTACCCAGTAATTCTTGTTACACATGAGTCTAAGGGTCCAAGTTAAAAAAAACTTTCTTAGGCTGGGCGTGGTGGCTCAGGACTATAATCCTTGCACTTTCGGAGGCTGAGGTGGGCGGATCACGAGGTCAGGTGTTCAAGACCAATCTGGCCAACCTGGTGAAACTCCGTCTGTACTAAAAAAATACTTAAAAATTAATTAGTGCATTCCCTTCACTGTGTTTTATACTCAGGCAAGGTCAAAAAGAAATGGAATAAGGATAGAAATAGTAGTGTACCACAGTAAAAATTAGCTGGGCATGGTGGTGTGTGCCTGTAATCCCAGCTACTCAGGAGGCTGAGGCAGAACTGCTTAAACCGGGACCCAGGAGGCAGAGGTTGCAGGGAGCTGAGATCATGCCACTTCACTCCAACCTGGGCCACAGAGCAAGACTCCGTCTCGGGGGGGGGGAAAAAAAAAAAGTCATTTTTAAAGAAACACAAAATTAAATCCTCACAAAAATTCCAGTGGTACAGAAATATGACACAAACATCTTCCCATACTCTCATTCTCTGAAGATAAAACTTTTGTTATGGTTTTCTATGTAAAAGATTATTGATTTTAGTTTTGTTTCCATTTTTACAAAAATTTAAAACAATTTTTCAACTTGGTTTTTAAATGTAATTATATTGTTGATTTTTAAATATTTTATAAGTGCTGTTTCAGTAGATTTATTGTAATCCACTATATAAACATCCCATGATTTATTTAAACTACATGTTATTGACAGATGTTAAGAGTGTTTTGCTCTCTTTCTGATAATTGTATAACAGAATAAATTGTCTGCAATGAAATTGCTCTGCTCAATTTTAATAGAATTCTGAGGCCAACCTTTAAGATTTATTGCTCTTGGATAACTTTTAACATTATATCTCAATTAATACAGTTTTTTTTAAGCAGGAGATAGGAGTATACATATGACCCACATCTTAAAATAGTTTTTTTCTCCTCTGACTTTCAGAGGAAGAAAGAATTCGTTAGGGGCAGGAAGAAAGGAACATTAAAAGCTAAATTCCATGGCCTGTTGTCCTTGACATTAATTATCAAAGCTTACCAAAACCTTGTCAAGATTCATGGTTCTGAATTGAGGGGGAACAAAAAATATAAAAATAGCTTCTCGAATAAGAATATAAAGAAATATTTTTTACAGCTGTACAATGTGTTTGTGTTTTGAGCTAAGTGTTATCATAAAAGAGTCAAAACGTTTTTAAAATTGTAAAGCTTTGGGTCTAATAATCTTATTCCTTCCACAGATCGTGTAATACAAAAAGACAAAGGCCCATATTATACACACCTTGGGGCAGGACCCAGTGTTGCTGCTGTCAGGGAAATCATGGAGAATAGGTGAGGAAATACGCTTCCCTGTTAAAATCATTCTTACTGTGGATCTGACTCAATGCAGAAAAATCATCTGTGGGAACAAATGACATGATTGAAAAATGTTCAGGAGTATGAGTTGGATGTTTCTTAGGGCCCAACAAAGGAGGGGTGTCCTGCTGTCCCTCCTGAGTCACCCATCATACAAGCTGTTGGGCATATAAAAGAGCACCCACAAAGCATGGCTAATTGTCTTTGATAAACTCAGAAGGACTTTTTATATTGTATAATGGTCGAAATAGGTCAAATTACCACCCTTGACACTGCATACCCGACATCCCCATTGCTTGTCTTGCAGTCAGCCTGTTTTTAAAGAGTGATCTTTAAGGATAAGTGAGTAGGACTGGATAACAACTCAAAATACCTGCCACACAAAAGCAAATGTTTAACGAAAGTAAATCATGAGGAGTGTTTGATTTTTGAACTTCTGTACATCTAGATCTTAAACACGTTAACATGTTTAAAGCTGAAGCCTTCAAATACACATTGTAATTAATTAGTACATTCCCTTCACTGTTTATACTCAGGTATGGTGAAAAAGGAAATGCAATAAGGATAGAAATAGTAGTGTACACCGGCAAAGAAGGGAAAAGCTCTCATGGGTGTCCAATTGCTAAGTGGGTAAGTGTTTCCTATTTATAGATTGTTTTGAAGCTTGTTATCCAGAGCTGATACTTACACACTTTCAATAGCCAGAGTGACCTTTATTTTATTTATTCATTTATTTTGTGTGTGTGTATGTGTGTGTGTGTGTGTGAGGCCTCTACTAAAAATGCAAAAATTAGCCAGGGGTGGTGACAGGTGCCTGTGGTCCCAGCTACTAGGGAGGCTGAGGCAGGAGAATTGCTTTAACCCAGTGAGCCCCGATCATGCCACTGCATGAGAAAAGTGAGACTCCATCAAAAAAAAAAAGATAGCCGCGTGGGTTATCAGGGAATGCCTTTTGAGGAAGGGAACATTTGAGCTGAGAAAGGAGTGACAAAAAGGAACTAAGTATGCAGAGGATAAGCAGGGAGTAGAATTCCTAAGCAGAGAAAACGGCAAGAAAAAAGGTCTTGGGTTAAGAAAGCAGAATTATTTGAAATTAAGAAGATACTTAATTGAACCAGGTGGGGGTAAAAAGGTGAATGATTTTGTAGGCCATAGTGAGAAGCTGCGGATTTTAGCCCAGGAGTAACATGAAGGCTTTGAAGTATTTTAGACAGAGATGTGTTATCTGGTTTATGTTTTATAAATAATATTTAAGGAACTAACTGATAAGACCTGTATTCGTTATCTGTCGCTGTTCAGCATCTTTGAATAACAAACAGGTATTATCTCCTGCAGTTTTAGTGAGTTAGGAAACCAAGCAGTGCTTCTGGCATAGGCTCGTATGAGGATGCAATCATCTGAAAACTTGACTGGGGAAGAGTGATGCAGCTGGAGGGCCCATTTCCAAGCTCACTTGCAGGAGGCCTTCGTTCTTTGATGGCTGTTGGCTGGAGGCCTCAGTTCTTCCTCATCTTAAATGTTTTCATAATACGGCAGCTTGGTTTCCCCCAGAGTGAGTGAATGAAAAGAGAGCAAGGAGGAAGCTACAGTGTCTTTTATCACCTCCAGAGGTTGAGGCCAGTAGTTCAAGGTCACAGTGCACTATGATGGCTCCTGTGAATCCATAGCCAGCCACTGCACTCCAGCCTGAGCAACATAGCAAGACCCCACCCACATCACTTTAAAAAATTAAAAATAAAATAAACTAGATTCTCTTATAAATCTCCTATGCTGGCTTTGTGGTAATAATTTTCTTGCTCTCCACCTTTCTCCTGCCAGTTATAGATTTCTCAAACAGTATAGTTTTATTTTGTTTTGTTCTTTTGTGTCTGGCCTATACATAGTACCTTGTACATTTGATGAAATAAAGCACACAATTGGTTCCCAATATCTGGCACTGATGGTTGTTACAGATTTATTGAACTGTATCTGTTAGCTATTTCTGAATTGTTTATTAAGTAGCAAGGAATGAGTATGTCCTCATGATGAAGCAGCTGGCTTCCCTTACAGAGAGTATCCAAAGGAGAGCAAGGTAACTAGGCTTATTGGTGGGATTGGAAATGATTTCTTTTTCCTGTCTTTAAAACCTTTTCTAATATAACATTAATCACAGTGATATAAATAATTGTCGTATATAGTTTTGGTTTTTTTTTTCTTAAGAAGGCAAATAGCTGGGTGTGGTGGGTCACGCCTGTAATCCAAGCACTTTGGAGGCCAAGGCGGGCGGATCACCTGAGGTCAGGAGTTCAAGACCAGCCTGACCAACATGGTGAAACCCCGTCTTAAAAAGAGAAAGAAGGCCGGGCGCGGTGGCTCAAGCCTGTAATCCCAGCACTTTGGGAGGCCGAGGCGGGTGGATCACAAGGTCAAGAGATCGAGACCATCCTGGTCAACATGGTGAAACCCCGTCTCT